TGTGTGTATATACAGTGGGGCAAAAAAGTATTTAGTCAGCCACCGATTGTGCAAGTTCCCCCACTTAAAATGATGACAGAGGTCAGTAATTTGCACCAGAGGTACACTTCAACTGTGAGAGGCAGAATGTGAAAAAAAAATCCATGAATCCACATGGTAGGATTTGTAAAGAATTTATTCGTAAATTAGGGTTGACAATAAGTATTTGGTCACCTCAAACAAGGAAAATCTCTGGCTCTCACAGACCTGTAACGTCTTCTTTAAGAAGCTTTTCTGTCCCCCACTCGTTGCCTGTATGAATGGCACCTGTTTGAACTCATCATCTGTATAAAAGACACCTGTCCACAGCCTCAAACAGTCAGACTCCAAACTCCGCCATGGACGAGGGCAAAGACAGAGGACTCGTATGGCCGGTGGTCAGAGTTTGTTCCTGGCACAGCGTGAATGTACTGCTGTGATTTTGTTCATATATATGTGTATATATATATGTGTATATATATATATATGTATATATGTATATATGTATATATGTATATGTATATATATATATATATGTATATATATATATATATATATATATATATATGTATATGTATATATATATATATATATATATATATATATGTATATATATATATATATATATATATATATATATATGTATATGTATATATATGTATGTATATATATATGTATATGTATATATATGTATGTATATATATATGTATATGTATATATATGTATATATATATATATATATATATCTATATATATATGTATATATGTATATATATATATATGTATATGTGTGTGTATATATATATATGTGTATGTATATATATATATGTGTGTGTATGTATATATATATATGTGTGTGTATGTATATATATATATGTGTGTGTATGTATATATATATGTGTGTGTATGTATATATATATATTTATTTATTAGGGGTGCAACGATACACAAAATTCACAGTTCGGTTCGGTTCGATACTTTGGTGTCACGGTTCGATATTTTTTCGATACAAAAAAATGTTCATGCATTTTTAATTTGTCATTTATTAAAATTATAAATATATATTTTAACTCAAAAGTACAGTTTTAAATTTAACCCTAACCCTTGTGCGTGTTTTTTATTTTGACAGCGAATGCGCACCTGCGGACCACTTATGTGCAGCCCTGGTTATTTATCTCATCATATCGCAGCCACAGAAATTCTTTTGTCCATGAAACCATAAAGCTGCACTTTCTTTTTGCCTTATAGTCTGATTTGTCATAACTTCTCCGTTTTGTGGTAAGCTTTTCTTTGGCTGTCACTTCTTCACCCTGACCTGTCTTATTTGGCTCAGCAGAACTGAAATGCTTTTACACGCTCACTCACATAAGCTCAGCGATTCTCTGCGCGATCAACCTCTCACATGTTTAAGCTTGCTGCGGGAGATTTCACTTGTCATGTTTGCATAGTAAGCTAACGATTAATAAGACGATGTCAGAGGAATTGGTGCACAAATTATCATCACTCACAGATCAGTGCTGTCGCTCTCTATACACAGTTCGCACGATTGCAAAGTGAAAGCAAAAAAACAAGCGCAAATTCAAACGCGACTTCAATATGTCACATATTGACAGTGGCTCACCGATGCCAATGACATAATTACCCAGCTACATTTCTGAAAGAATGCAAAAGCATTGACATATATTTTTCCTACAATAGCCCGACGGGCAGGGAAGAGAAAGATTTTGGTAGCCCGACTGAAAAAAATCGCTAGCTCCAGGACGTCGGGCTAGCGATATTGCAAGCCCTGTATCTGATTGAGGAATCACTCATCTTTGGAAAAGAGAGTTTATTACAGAGAAATGTCTCTTTCCAAAATAAAAGCTATACTATCCGCTTCTTCTGGGCTATATTCTCAGCAGCATAAGGAGAATCATGTGCTAACAGCTGTCTAAATGACTCGGCTAAAGTTAGTAGCATGCTTGCTTTTTTTTGTCTGCTTCCACTTGTCTTTGCACTAGGATGATGTCGGCGTAAATGTGCAGTCATATTCGTTGTGTTCCCACTAGTGCTTTCAGGTTAATCTCGTTGAAATGACCTTAACGCCACAACACGGCAAATCTCCGTTAACGAGCTACCGCCGATCGCTCCGTGCATGGGGCTAGACGGCCAACACGTTAACGAGCTAACTGCGCTAACACACTAGTTCACACCAATGTAATTGAGCATTGCATGGCACATCCAACATACTGTTTTACTTTAGTCCATGACTCGCTTACCTTCAGGGTCATACGTCACATGAAAACCAAAATAATTCCAAACGCCAGATCTGAATGAGGTTCAATTTGCCTGTTGCAAGTAGAGCTTAACTTCTGTCTCGCTAGCTTGCCCTGCGCTCTTCCTTCTGACTATGCTGTCTGTGTTGAGCGCTCAGTGGATCTGTGCTCGACAGTGCAGCCTAGGCGGAGTAGTCGAACACAGATTCACTGAGCGCTCAACACAGACAGCATCGTCAGAAGGAAAATTGATAAAATAAATTACAAATGTTGTATTGTTCGATACATATGCGTACCGAACCGAAAGCACTGTATCGAACGGTTCAATATCGATACGAATATCGTTGCACCCCTAATATATATATATATATATATATATATATATATATATATATATATATATATATATATATGTAGTCTGTTAAATCCAGTACTGTGTCATTTAAAATCCTGGCACTATAATGCTGTCAGCTGTTTGGCTTCCAGTATACCGCTATCTTAGTGTTATAACTCTTTGAATTCAGACTATATGGACGCATGTCCTCATATACTCTGAATTCAGTGAATTTGTACTCAACCATATCATCCCTGAAGATGAATAGATACTGACCTGAGCTGAAAAACTGCCATAAGAGCATCAGTGGGTGATTGCTAGCTATATAAATATAGCTATATAAAAAGACCATCTTAGAGAGGCAGCGTTTCTCAGAGGTAAAGATGGGAAGAGGTTCTTCAGTCTGCAAAACAAATGTGTCTAGAAATTGTGAAACAACTTCAAAATAATTTTTCTCAATGTAATATTGCTAAGACTTTGAATATCTCATTATTTACAGTATATAATATTAACAATAAAATCAGAGAATCATACCACACCATCTGCAAGGGACAAGGCAACCTTGAGCAGTTTTATTTTACACAGTTTAATCATTTTACTTCCTAAAGTGATCTAAAATCCCAGAGAATGTATGTAAAAATTATATTTTAACATTTCTTTCTTTTTTAATTGTGTTGGATTTGATTTACATTCATGTATTTGTCCTATACTGTCCTTGCATATTTACTTAAACACATGTCGATACTTGAAGTTAAACAGTAAAGCAAAGTGATCAAGAAAATTTGTCATGGTGAATTAAAATTTCGTATTTTATTAATGTTTAATAAAAATACAACCCCATTTCTGAAAATCAGTAATGAATGTCTGTGTTGTTCTGGTCCTCAGGCAACACTACATTTAAAAACAGGCATGACTGACATGAAAAAACCCTGCATGAGCTCACGAATACTTCCAAAAATAACTGTCTATGAACAGAGTGTGTTGTGCCATCCACAAGTGCAGGTTAAAGCTTTATCATGCTGAGAAGAAGTCATACTTGAACATAATCCAGAAACACTGCTGTCGTCTCTGGACCAAAGCTCATTTAAAATAAAATAAAAACTGTTCTGTCAGACAAATCGAAGTATGGAATTCTTTTTGGAAAGCATAGATGCCACATCCTCAGGACTTAAGAGGAATTGGACCATCTGGCTTGTTGTCAGTGCTCAGTTGAAAAGCCAGCATCTCTGGTGGCATGGGGGTACTTTATTGCCTATGGAAAAGGCAGCTTGCACATCTGGAAAGGAAGCATCAGCACTGAAATATATATACAGATTTTAAGTGACATAGAGTCCCATACAAACATCTTTTTATGGAATGCTGCATATATTTCAACCAGAAATGCTCAACTAAATCATGCATCTATTGTATGGCTTCATATTAGAAGAGTCCGGGTACTGAATTGGCCTGTCTGCAGTCCAGATCTTTCATCAGTTGAACACATTTGATGCACAATGAAATGATAAATATGACAAAGGAGACCCAGGACTCTTGAACAACGAGAATGGGACACATTCGTCTCCCAAAGGTCCAGATATACATTAGCGTATTGTTAATTGTCTTTAATTGTGGTATTCAACTACATTCACATTACTTTATATGAAAAAAAGTATTTTTTTAACTGAAAGACTTGGAAGAATCTCTCTAACAATACTATACTTGTGGTTCTCTACTGTTATAAGTTAGCTTTACTGACAACACTCTGCATACTGGGTCATGTGTCCAGAGGCAGATTTTAAATTTGTGTTTTACATGCGGTAAAACACAATTCCTAATCAGAGTCTATTAAGGTAAAGCAACTGTAATTATTATTTGTTTCATAGCAATGCTACACTGGAGAGAGTCGTGCAAGAAAATTTAAATTGGTTTGGAACCAAATGATCTCCTATTAATCCTAATACTTGAGATATATTTATACTTGTGTGGGATGTTTCATTACAGTCACTTCCAGAAAAGGCTAGTGTGATATCAATTAATTTGGCAGTTCAAGAAATTATCAAACAAACTGATAGCGAGAAGATAGTAGAGAGCACTGAGAGAGAGGGTTGTGCATGGGTGAAAACGAGTGGCAGTCGGTGTAACATTAAATGTAGGGAAGGAAAGGTGCAGGCCTTGATGGGCTGATGGCTCTTCTGCAGACAGCGAGCCAAGCTGTTCTGCAGCAATGAGATGCTAATAATATGCTAATGATATGGTAATCTGCCAGTAGAATTCCACCTCAGCGGAGAAAAAGGAGATCTGGGAGGCCTTGCGCCATTGGTTGGGAACCAGGGATGTCCTGAAATCAGAGTTCAGGACAAGGAAAGAAAGACTACATGCACACGTTTATACATGATATTTGTGTGTGCTTGCAGGTCCCCACAGGAAAGAGTCTGAAACTGACAAGCAGCCCGAAGAGAATAAGAGTGACCAGTCCCTCACCTTCAATGACCCTCTCTGGCCCATGCAGTGGGAACTGGTGGGTGTATTTATGTGTAAGTGTATGTGTAGTAGTGTGTGTTTGTATGTGTTCATTGGTCTTATCTGGAAGCCCCACCCCGACTTTTCTCATCTTCATGTTGAAGGATGTTCCTCTGACAGGCATAAGTCAGGCAGGCTTTCATGTGTGACTGGAGAGTGAGACGGACGATAGAGAGATGGGGGGGATTGTGGAGGAGGAAAGAGCGAGCGAGAGAGGAGGTGAAGGGGGTTGTCCATGTTGAACTGAGACAGATGTCAGGGATTGATGAGGCTCGGAGCAACACTGACACACAACTGGGCTGCAACAACAAGACATGCTCATCCATTCTGCAGAGTCTTGTTCATCCTGTTTGGACGATACTTGTACACTATGTTTGAGAAGACCAAAAGGAGCAAAGTGACAGGATGCTTGGGTATAAAAAGGAATATTTTTTGATAAAATATCTTATTTTTTAATAACGTACAAATTATTTAATAGCTGCATCTATAGCCTTTTATTATAAAATATTTCAAGTAGTCAAAATTCACAGATTAGCATCTCAATCAGAATTTCAAGTTAATTTTAGAGTTTGCATGATATCATCCTCTTCCTCCTTATCTCAAGCCTCGTCTCCGAAACTGTAATGTGCATAAATATACTTATTTATTCCCAATATTGTTGCAGTTAGTTATTGTCAGCTACATTAGATGACCTTCCTGTCTCTGTACACCAGACAAGAGCCGGCTAAACAACAACAACAGCTGTTTATAAGCTCACATTAAACCAGCTAATGTTAAGGTTCAAGAGAATCCCACATTCCTGCTGATTTGATTACATTCTTACATAGTATGAGAGCTAATTTGCTAAGTGTCAGAGTCCAACAATATTTCTTGTGTTAACAGTAGGCTAAGAGGCTAAGAGTAGCTAACAGCGCGAAAAACAGTAGCGCTTGCCGACTGCTCAGCATATGTTCAATAACGCACCTCAGTATGGCTGTCATCATTTAGAAGTGAGCTTCTCTGACTCAGTGAGCTGTATATTAGAGTCCGTCCACAACGTTTTACAGCCCCTTACAAAGTAAATCAGGGGTGGGGAACTCCAGGCCCTGAGGGCCGGTGTCCTGCAGGTTTTAAATCTCACCTTGGGTCAACACACCTGAATCACATGATTAGTTTGTTACCAGACCTCTGGAGAACTTCAAGACATGTTGAGGATGTCATTTAGCCATTTAAATCAGCTGTGTTGGATCAAGGACACGTCTAAAACCTGCATTACACCGGCCCTTGAGGCCTGGAGTTCCCCCACTCCTGGAGTAAATAAAGGTGGAGGTTTCTCGCCCGGCATTGACAGCTGAGGTAAACAGTGGACTTTAACACATGGGGAAAAACTCCAGAGCGAATCTGGTTCAAACATAGCAGAAACACGCCGGCTGGCCATGGTTGTTATGGGGTACAGTCTAAATTTCATATTTTTGATCTTTCTGACCTGACTAAAACATGTTTTTCCTACAGCAGCCAAAGTAGCTAGACTTATGTACTTGAATTGGGAGGGGCGAGAAAGCCTCAGTTAATTGATATCTGCAGTCTACTGACATCTAGCATTGAACATTTTAGACACTGTAACTTTAAGACACAAAGTTCTGGAACTGTCTTTAGAAATGTTTGTTGAATGAATCTTTTCTGAGGGGAAAAAACCAACACTGGTCATTATATTGTCACAGTTATGTCTATGACTCTTCGTAAGCTGTTATTAATTTTTTTTAAATGTGTTTAAGCACACAAGTTTCAGTTTATTTCAGAAACGTATGCGCTTAACAGCCTTGAGTACCTTTCCTGACACATTCGGTTGATACCAAAAAGTATATTAAAGCTCAGTAAACAGCTGAATAGGAAAGCTGCTTATTGAGAAACCCTGTCCCTGTTTTTTTTCTTTAGATTATGTTTGCATTTACACAACTGGTTACATTATGTAACTTATGCTTTATAAATTCCTTGATAGGTCTTAATAATTCTTTTACTCTTACCAAAGTGTAGTCAACAATTCAACAGCCTGTATTAGTGTCTGGTTTATTACTAATACAGGGCAACCAGGGCTCGTCCAATCGTCAGGGCAGACGTTCTTGACTGACATACGAGGGCGTAATCTGGCAGCGCGAGGAGGAGGAGGGGCGGGGTCAGAGATTCACCAGAGCAACCGGCAACAGAATGATTGACACCTCAGCTCTCAGGGCAAGATGAAGGGGTGAAAGTCAGGATGGGGGTGGAGGGAGGTGAAGACAGAAACAGAGGAAGTCAGGAGAGATGATGGGGGCATATGAAGCACTAGTGAGGGGAAAAAAAATCTGACGGTTTCTTTTCTTATAAGCACGATTTTGTTGCACATAGTCACCTCTCTCGATTTAAGAAGGTTATTGACAAGATTGTTTATGCAGCGCAGTATGATTCATGTGCTGGAGCATGCAGTATGACACTAAGCGGATTAACGTTAACTTTATGGAATGATTGCATGAACTGAGAAATAGAACATAATTATCAATCACTCATTAATCAAGAAAAATGAAAGGCGTCTTTAACGTTGAGGACATTGCTCTCTCTGTCTGGCCCTCCCTCTCTCTTCTGCTCAGTAGCCCTGCTCTCCTGCTTTCGTTCTGTTGTGTTTAATCAGCCTCTGGTGGACGTAGATATTGATTGAGGGTCAGTAATCTGCTCAGGGTTGGTAGCCTGCCAGGACCAGACAAATATATGTTTGTGTGTGTGTGTGTGCTAGTCGGGCATGTATGTTCGCTAAAAGCTGTACCTGATGGGCTATACCCACCTGTACACACACAAGGCAAGTGGAGCCTATTGTACCCTTTTTGTTAGACTGAGTCAAGCCCCTCCTGAGGAGCTCATTCAAAGCCTCTGAAATCCACGCAGCATCTTGAGCGTGCCTACTGTGTGTTTATATGAGAGAGAGTGTGTGTATGTTTTCACTGAGGGGCAGCTGCGATAAAGGCAGGGAAGCCAGAGATTGTTATGTTATCACTCTGTTTACATGTGTGTCTTCTGCATAGAAAAAGTGCCACTGTTGTTTTCTCTTGTTGCATGAACTTTCCAAAACTCCAAGGGTATATGTCTTTGATCATGTGTGCATTTGTGCTTGTGTGTGCCAGAATGTTCATTTACTAGAGAAACACATGATTAGTATATTTCAGTGCTTCAGAGAATGATCATGATTCTGCGCGTGTGTGTGTGTGTGTATGTTGTTGGTGATCACTCTACGACTGCGTGGGGTGAATCAGTGTTCAAAATGCCTCTCTGTGGGCTTATATCCAAGTTCACAAAGGTGTGTGTGTGAGTTTATTTTGGTGTACCTTTGGTTGTGTGTGCGTTTTCCCCTGGGCAACGCACACACAACCTCGTGCTATGGTGGACGTTAGCCTGCTAGCTGCCTCCATTCATCAGCTTTATTCACACAACAACAACAAAGCACTGCTGCTCCCCAGATGCAGCCCCCAAAACACACACATATGAAAGCACACACACACACACAAACACACAGACACACACAAACAAGTCCTGCCTACCACAACTACCACCACCCACTGCCACCACCTCGTAACCATTTTTTCCATTGTGTGTTCTTCTCCCCCTCGTTCTCTCCCTCTCTCTCTTCATCATGATAACAACAACCGAGTTGAAGCCTCTTGAAAAACTCACTTTGAATATCAGATTGGCTTTGTGTGTGTGGGCAGGGGATGTTTGGGAAGCTGCTGACATTTTTGGTGAGACAGCTTGCGCGCTACCTTTTGGCACTACCTTTATGGTTTGTGCTCCTGTGAGAATGTGTTTGCATGAAGATGCAAGACTGAAGCTTCACTTAAAGCTATCAAGGGAATGTGTCTGTGTAGTGTGTGGGGCCATTAGGACTCATGGGAGCTGCCAAGATGGTTCTCGTGCCTCACGTTGGTGGGATTTCTGCACAGCAGTGTGTGGATTTGTGTGCGTGTGGGTGGATTGTGTGGTTTGAAGTGAAAGGATGAAAGACCTGTCTATGTGACTCGTCCATGAACTCCCCGGGCTTCTTATGGGCACTTTGAACGTACATATGGTTTCTGAAAGTATCACTGGATGTGCACATGTTTCCTCACAAGTTAACATAACCCAGCGACTGAAGTAAACATTTCCATTAATGCACATGTAGCAAAAATTCAGAGGGTAATATATTCATATACAGTACAGTAATAATAATAATGCACAGTGAAGTTTTGACCATTCATCCATCCAGTAGGACCAGTGTTTCCCAACCTTTCGGAGCCACGGAACATATTTCACATTAGAAAAATCACACGGCACACCACCAAACAAAAAACTCACAAAAAGCATATTGATAATTTTTCCCTGCACATCAGGTATAGTAGAATTGGCTCGGTTTCTCCCCATTATACCTTTTGTGCTTTCTTCTGACCACTTCTCATGCTAGGGCCTTCACCTGGGTGGGAATTTTCTCCAGGACCCAGGTCAGATTGACTACTTTTTCTTTTCAAATATTTATCTGTTGCTATTACGTGCTGCATTGTCTCACAGCATGACTATTCTGTAATTTCTTCTTCGTCTTCTTCTGTTTTTAATGGCAGTTGGCAACCCATTTAATTAGAGCAGGTAGTTGTACTGCCCTCTAGTGGAAGAGAATGTAATTGTTCTGCACGTTACTCACGCCGATCGCTTAGAGTACTAACCAGGTGAAACCAGATCATCATCCACGGCACACCTGACCATTTCTCAAGGCACACCTATGTGCCGCGGCACAGTGGATTGCAGTGGACAAGAATCTAACACTGTCTCTATTATTTTTTTTACCTGCAGTGTTAAGAGCCTATTGCACACTGACTGTTTTTTGCAGTGAACAAAAACAGAAAGCAGTTGATATCTGATTTATGTCATTGTTACAGTATATTTACTGTGTCCGCTAGTAAATATACTGACCAAGGCTCTGTGAGGATATCAGCGTGCCACCAAGTAGACTTGGAAAAAAGTAGAAAAAAGGAAATTATACTTTTTTTGTGATGCTAACATTTTAATAATATTGTGTATATATGTGTCTGTGTGTGTATAGTTTGCACAGGGTGAGTACACTGATGCGACTGACCTGAATTTGATGCCGGTTTGGAGGAACAACGTTACTGGACATGGAGTCGTGGTCAGCATCATTGATGATGGTGAGTCTAACTTTACTGCAACAAACATGTTCACACACGTTATAAATAAAATATATAAAATCTGCATTTGCTGGCAGTCAACATCTAAAAACTAAGGCACTTTTTCTTTTGCAGTATTTACCCTCTTAACGCTTTTATCTCAGTTGAGTATGCATTGCCTTTGCTTTACACAATTATACCAGAAACAAACTTACATTTTTGAAAAAATATATTTCAATTAGAAACTTGCATAATGCAACAATTCTGTGCAATACTTCGACAAGATGTGTGCAGTGTGCACTAAAAAAAACAAAAAAACAAAAGATGTTAAATCGGCAAAAGCTTGTCAGGTTTGGTGTGACAAAGCTCAGCTCTGGCTCTGAGCGGAGAGGGTGAATGATTTATGTTAGTGCCCTCCTCCCCCAAGCCGCTACCACCACTACCACCGCCCTACCACCGTCATCTTCGTCTCAGTCATGCCACAATGAGAATTCATTTCTCTCTGATTGCTTGGATATCTGGCAACAAGGGAAATGAGAGAGCGGCATCTTATGGGCTCATTCATCAAGAACTAATTGAAGCCTCACTAGTCTCAAGTGCTGATAGAGCTGGAGTAGTTGTGTGTGCTGTTTTGTATGTGTGTGTTGAAGTCTTCACCTTTTTTTTTCTTCTTCTTTTTTGCATTCAAGTGCCTCTGACTCTGCCCTCTGTGTGTGAAAGTGACTGGGTTTTAAGAAACAATATATCTGTGTGTGTTGATTCGCTGGTATGCATGCATGCATGCATGCAGGAGTGTCAGTTTTTGACTTCAGTGTCTGGTTTCAGGAGAAAAAAAGCTTGTGTTGTGGTTAGCCTCTTTGGATAGAAGGCCTTCTCTCTCTTCTGCATCCTTCTGCATACAGACTGTGTCTGTGTGTGTATGTTTGGGTATGGGTGGCACGAGGTGGAGGGTGGCTACAGAATGAGCAAGAAAGCGAGAGAGAAGGAGAAAGAAATTAAATAGAGGAAGGATATAGAGGGAAATGTCAAGAGAAAGCAAGAGCAAAAAGGATTCAGAGTGGGGCGAGTGTGTGTGTGTGTGTGTGTGTGTGTGTGTGTGTGTGTGTGTGTGTGTGTGTGTGTGTGTGTGTGTGTGTGTGTGAGACAGAGAGTATTAGACCTGCACCACTGAATCTCCTCTCCTCTGAGGCTATTGTACTCTGCTCCACCTCTCTGTATTGATTCCACTGGGCAAGAGCCCCGCTCCTTTTCCTTTCTCCCTCCCACCCTCTCTCTCTCTTCCTTCTTTCTTTTTTCCTCTTTTCCTCTTCCCTTTCCCCTCTTTGTTAACTAGGAGGTGACTTTTTCCTTTGGCCACCTTTTTTTCTTCTTCTTCTTCTACTCCTCCTTTTCCTCATCTCTCTTTCTTTCCCTCCCTTTTGGACATTTTGCCTCTCACAGCTAAAGGATCATGTACACGCTCACCTTTAGCCACCTTTCAATCGATGTCATTGATTTTAATATCACAATGAAATAAATTATTTTCTTTGAGTGAAAGCACCCTACCACCCCCTCCTCCACTGTGCTCCTCCTCCATAGCCATCCTTCAGTTCAGTCCTTCTGTTTTAGATGTAATTGGCAATCTGAGACTTGTTTTCTAAAACTGTTGAATCACATTCATAGTGCCACCTTCATTCATATGCTTCCCTTTGTTTGCATGGACTATACCCTTTACTGTTCTCTGTGCATGGCAGCATTAGTTATAGTTTCATCAACTTGCTTTTATAGCTTCATGAACAGTGGGTGATTGTTGAAAAGCTATAAAATAATAAAGACCCTTATTTCTCAACTTTGTGTATGCACACCTTTGAGTGCAACACATTGAATCTGTGAAGATGCAAAGTGACCTACAAGGTTGTGACTGTATTGTACAATGCAGGATTGTGAACCTATGTAACATTTACCTATTATTAATTTCAAAGTACTTAACTGATGCTGAGAAGAGAGGTTGTGCTCATCAGCTAATGCTTACACTGCCTCACGTGGTTAGCAAGAAGCATCCGTTATTCATGGTGGAATTAGTTAAACAGCCTTGAATCAAATACTACTTACAGATGAGGAGAGAACTATTAGCTCCCCCTATGAAACTTAAAAAAAAAAAATATATATGTATATTTCCCAAGTGCTGTTAGACAGAGCAAGGAATTCTTTACACACTTTTCCAAACATCCTAAGTTTATTTTTCTTTGAAAACCCTTCTTTCAGATTTGAATGGTCTTCTGTCATAAACTTTGATCTTCAGTTCAACTAACAGATTTTCATTGGGATTCAAGTCAGGGGTTTGAGGAGGTCAGTCAATAATTTTCACTTGGTCCTCTGGAGGTAGTTCTTTACCAGAAGTGACATATGTTAAGTCTTCAAACATTTGTCATGTTGGAAGACAAAGCAACCATCCAGACTCAGTTTTCTTTTCAAATCTTCATGCATCCTTGTTGGTGGTTCCTTCCACCCTGATGAGATTCCCAGTTCCAGGAGCATCCCTACAGCATAATACACCCACCACCATGTTTCACTGTGAACAATGTTCTTTGAGTTGTGTGTCTCTTCCTTCTTTCTCCAAATAAAAGCAACATGTCTGGTTTGTGTCCAAAGAGCACTAGTTTTGTCTCATCCGACCAAAGGACGCACTTCCAGTAAGCATAATCCTTCTCCAGGTTGCCCTTAGCGTACTTCAGTCTTGGCTGTTGTTCTGGGGTCTTTAGACACATCTCTCACTAGTTTGCTTTACAGAGTCTTTGAAGTATTTTGCTTCCGTACTGTGTGGCTTTTTCTGAATTTCTTGATGATACATCTCACTCCAGTTCTTGAAACTTGGAAATGCTGTGATAACTTTGTATATCCATCTCCTGCTTTGTGAGCATCAACAATTCTTTTCCTCTAAACGAATGTCTTCTGTTTTCGGCATTTTTATTCTGTGTATAAATTGGAAGATATCCCTCAGTTTTAACTTGATTTCACAAGCTTTGAGTATAACAGAGTAAAAGAACATCATTGCACAGCAGTGGTTTGTGTCAGAGCTCAACAAAAAGGTCCGTTTCTCGAGGGGCTAATAACACTGACTGTGGTAGTTGTTTTTTTTTATTTGTTTTTTTGCTGAAATAATTCTGTTCTTTCGTGCAAATAGAAAGAATTCATGCTTTCTAAAGAAAACTAATATTTTTAGAAATGCTATGTTGAAAATCACTTGCTCTGGGAAAATTTTGTTGGAAAACTGTGCCACATGTTTAACACCAATCCCAGTTACTTTAGGTACAGTAGTGCTGGATACCATGCAGTAGTGATATGCCAATCAAAAGGTAGTCAAATTCTAAATCCTACTATGACTTAATGCTTATTTGACTCTAAATGAGACCACCATTCACAGCAGGAATATGATGCTTTATTGAAGAAGAGTTGAAAATAGCAATCAATATCATAAACTCATTAGAAAAATATTTCCCAACCTAATAAATCATATGAGAAGAAGAGTCATTTTCTCATCAACATTTAATGTAGTTATTTTTGTCCCCAAACAAGTTCTGAAGAGATTGGATAAAACAGTTTGTTTTCTCTGGTTTTAATACAAAAAAACCCAAAACTGTTTTGAAAGTTTTGATATTATACAACGGATCTTAAAAAAACAACTATCAAACTACCATACTGTGAGCAGTTTAACATCAGCATGAGACAACTTTTCATTCTACAGAGATCAACATTTTAGACCCGTTGTTTGCCATGTTGTTCATGTTTATCACTTCCTTACTACATGTGTCTACAACAGTACTCTACATTAAAGCTACTGGAAACTTCAGATGGATGAGTTGACCATATGTACATAAACATACAGGTTGTACATGCACAACAGTGTAAAATAGGTGGGATATTTTTCCTTTTTTATAGACTAAAGGTGTAAGTATACATCTCTGGTAAACACTAGCTATCTGGTTTGTATGGACATGTCCTCAAAGTTCACATAAACAGGGCTTTATAGTTTGAGAAATGAGGCTCTTGGACACTTTTATAGCAGGAATAAAAGACAGCTGTCACAGAGTGTGCACTTCAACATAAGCAGCGCTCATTAGCCTGTCATCAACGCATTATGACCGGTGAGTGGGATAAGGATGAAGATTCATCAGAGAAATTACATCCACCCCCCACCCACCTTGTCCCGCCACTCTACTACAATGTCCCTGTCACCCAGCTATCAACGCTGGCCTCTGTCCCCCGTGGTCAAGGAGTCCAAAAGCAGACTCCTATCGATCGGTGCTTACGCCATTGTCATTACATGTCATTGGTACACAAGGAGACACAGGACACAAGTTAGACTAGGAGATGGAGATAGAGCAATGAATGAATGAATGGGGGAAGAAAGAAAACAACGAAAAAGAAGACTGAATATAGGACTGTTTCTTGCCACATTGATGTGTGAAGAGCATAGAAAGAAAAGAAAACCTTTTGAGTATACTTTCTTCTTCTGTAAACATTAATTTGAGCATAACTGCCCTCTGGAGCGGATGGAGACGTTGTGTGATTTCTTCTTCTTTTTCATGTTTTCAGAAGAAACTGCTGTAAGATAAAGGTAGAAATTTATAGTTCCACCGCAAAAAATTGTACCCCGAGGAGTTAATGCAAGCTTCATATAGATGCAGAGCTTTAATTAGGTTGTCATTCTGTATGTATTTATCAGGTGATGTAGGAGGTGTGATAAAAGATTTTATGGCTGATTATGAAGGCTTACGTAGCCATTCTAAGAGGCAGGGCTGTGTTTTGTGTCTGATTGACATTGTAAAGTCACACAGTGTGAGTACTATTGAATTGCTGTCTGTTCATGTTATATATTACTCAAAGGTACAACAAGTACTTTTTGAGGTCACTTAAAGGACTGGATGTTAGTTTTTGACTATAGTAGTAGAAATGGACATCGCTGTTCCACATAATCAGTTTTTATTTATGTGGCTGGAGACTTCAAAAAAACTTTCACTAACTGTGGCTAACAGCAGCTA